AGCCAGCATCATCCTGATACCAAAACTTGGCAGAGACACAACAAAAAAAGAAAATTTCAGGCCAATGTCCCTGATGAACATCGATGTGAAAATCCTCAAGAAAATACTGGCAAACTGAATCTAGCAGCATATCAAAGTTTATCCACGACAATCAAGTCAGCTTCATCCCTGTGATGCAAGGCTGGTTCAACATATGCAAATCAATAAACCTAATCCATCGCATAAACAGAACCAATGACAAAAACCACATGATTATCTCAATAGATGCAGAAAAGGCCTTCGATAAAATTCAACCCCCCTTCACGCTAAAAACTCTCAAAAAACTAAGTACTGATGGAATGTATCTAAAAATAATAAGAGCTACTTATGACAAACCCACAGCCAATATCATACTGAATAGGCAAAAGCTGGAAGCATTCTATTTGAAAACTGGCACAAGACAAGGATGCCCTCTCTCACCACTCCTATTCAACATAATAGTGGAAGTTCTGGCCAGGGCAACCAGGCAAGAGAAGGACATAAAGGGTATTCAAACAGGAAGAGAGGAAGTCAAATTGTCTCTGTTTGCAGATGACATGATTGTATATTTAGAAAACTCCATCGTCTCAGCCAAAAATCTCCTTAAACTGAAAACAACTTCAGCAAAGTCTCAGGATACAAAATTAATGTGCAAAATCACAAGCATTCCTATACATCAATAATAGAGAGCCAAATCATGAGTGAACTCCCACTCACAACTGCTACAAAGAAAATAAAATACCTAGGAATACAAGTTACAAGGGATGTGAAGGACCTCTTCAAGGAGAACTATAAACCACTGCTCAAGGAAATAAGAGAGGACACAAACAAATGGAAAAACATTCTATGTTCATGGATAGGAAGACTCAATATCGTGAAAATGGCCGTACTGCCCAAAGTAATTTATAGATTCAATGCTATCCCCATCAAGCTACCACTGATTTTCTTCACAGAATTAGAAAAAAACTACTTTAAATTTCATATGGAACCAAAAAAGAGCTTGTAGAGCCAAGACAATCCTAAGCAAAAAGAACAAAGGTGGAGGCATCACACTACCTGACTTCAAACTATACTACAAGGCTATAGTAACAAAAACAACACGGTACTGGTACCAAAACAGATATATAGACCAGTGGAACATAACAGAGACCTCAGAAATAATGCTACACATCTACAACCATCTGATCTTCAACAAACCTGACTAAAACAAGCAATGGGGAAAGGATTTCCTATGTAATAAATGGTGCTGAGAAAACTGGCTAGCCATATGCAGAAAACTGAAACTGGACCCCTTCCTTCACCTTATACAAAAAGTAACTCAAGATGGATTAAAGACTTAAATGTAAGACCTAAAACCATAAAAACCCTAGAAGAAAACCTAGTCAATACCATTCAGGACATAGGCATGGGCAAAGACTTCATGACTAAAACATCAAAAGCAATGGCAACAAAAGCCAAAATTGACAAATGGGATCTAATTAAACTAAAGAGCTTCTGCACAGCAAAAGAAACTAGCATCAAAGTGAACACACAACCTACAGAATGGGAGAAAACTTTTGCAATCTACCCATCTGACAAAGGGCTAATATACAGAACCTACAAAGAACTTAAACAAATTTACAAGAAAAAACCCCATCAAAAAATGAGCAAAGGATATGAACAGACACTTCTCAAAAGAAGACATTTATGCAGCCAACAAACATATTTTAAAAAGCTCATCATCACTGGTCATTAGATAAATGCAAATCAAAACCACAATGAGATACCATCTCATGCCAGTTAGAATGGCAATCATTAAAAAGTCAGGAAACAACAGATGCTGGAGAGGATGTGGAGAAATAGTAGCACTTTTACACTGTTGGCGGGAGTGTAAATTAGTTCAACCACTGTGGAAGATGGTGCAGCAGTTCCTCAAGGATCTAGAACCAGAAATACCATTTGACACAGCAATACCATTACTGGGTATATACCCAAAAGATTATAAATCATTCTACTATAAAGACACATGCACACTAACAATATATATTATATATATTTCAGCACTACTAACAATAGCAAAGACTTGGTACCAACCCAAATGCCCATCAATGATGGACTAGATAAAGAAAATGTGGCACATATACACCATGGAATACACCATGGAATATGCAGCCATAAAAAAGAATGAGTTCATGTCCTTTGCAGAGACATGGATGAAGCTGGAAACCATCATTCTCAGCAAACTAACACAGGAACTGAAAACCAAACACCGCATGTTCTCACTCATAAGTGGGAGTTGAACAACAAGAACACATGGACACAGAAAGGGGAACATCACACACCCAGGGCTGTCAGGGGGTGGGGGCCTAGGGGAGGGATAGCATTAGGAGAAATACCCAATGTAGATGATGTGTTGATGGGTGCAACAAACCACATAGCACGTGTATACATATGTAACAAACCTGCACGTTCTGCATGTGTATCCCAGAACTTAGAGTATAATAAAAATAAAATAAAAATAAATACACAACTAAAAAAAAATAATGCTCATGTCAAGGCAGTGGACATGGAGTATAGAAAACAGAGACAGGAGTCCCTTCCAGTAGACCTGAGCCCAGACCTTGGTATCATTCCCCATATCAGAGGGGGAAACACAGGATATAGGATATGACTGCTCTCACTGGGAACCCCTCAAGAAACATCCAGTTCTTGACTTCTTTGTTCATGTGCTTCTGATTTCCTGCCCTGCCACTCGTGAAATGGCTCCTTTCTTCATCAACCACATAGGGAGCCAAGAGCCACAGGAGAGGCTGTTCACCTTCCCTGGCCTGCTCCCTCCCTAACCCTGTTCATTCTAAATGATAAAAAAGCAAACAAACAAAAAACAGATGGAGAACAGGGAGAAAAATTAATTAAGAAGGAAAAAATCCATCTTTGTTCTCCCTAGTTGCTATATAGCCCTGAGAGAAATTGTCTGCAATGGATACAAGTTAAGAAATCTGAATTAGGGGTTGGAAATTCAAACCTAATACAGTAACATTCGCTTTTCATTTTACATATTCAGCATTGACTTTTTTACTTTTACAATAAGCATGTATTAACTTTATGGTTTTAAAACTCTCATATTTTAATTATGGGCACAACTGAGGATATTACATAATACATGTAAAGTGCTAGATCAAATGTTAGCTATTATTCTCTTACAAACCACTATCTGGGAAGGTACTTTAACACGCATTCCATTGGTGTGTTGTTTCTTCAGCCTCCTAAGTCTAAGGTACCGTGTTCAGCACTGGAGATATCCCAGTGAACAAAACACATGTGATAATATGCCATACATGAAAGTGTGCATACCACTGTGGAGAAGACATTAAGCAAGTAGTAGCACACGTAATGATTTTACTCCACTTGTGCTAAGTGCTATGAAGAAGAAGTGTGGGGTGACCAGTAAGATCCTCGTAACAGCTCTCTGAGGTGGTTTTCATCCTCAGTTATGGATAAAGAGCTATCACTAATGTTTATAACACTAAAGTGTGCTAATTATAATAACATAAAATTTCCAGAACAAATAGTAATTATAATAATTATCACTATTATAATAATGACAGGAAATTATTTTATGTCAATAGGTCAATGAGGAAAAGGATGGAAACAAATGAAGAAAAAAGCCTAAATGTGTGAGAGTATATATGGATAATTACTGCCAGAGAATTTCTATAGCACTCTTGTGTTCCTCCAAAGAGGAAAATTCTTCCATGCAGAGGTTTAGAGATCTTCAATGCAAGATACCCATTCCATCCCTGGAACAATGAAATACTGACAAACACAAAGTTAACCTAGAAACAAATACAAGTTCTGTATTTTCCAAAGTTAATCCCTTATTTTCCAAGAGAGATCTAATTTCACAGACTTGGTTCTTTTGTGGCCATAAACTACTAAAATAACATGGAAACCTCAGTATTTTTATGTTTAAACCATATCAAAGATGATCTCTGGAACCTAGAAATAACATAAAAATCTAAGTCAAACCAAGTACTCTGTTTGGCTTGGAAAACATGGCCACTATGCTGGAGAGGCACTAAATAGTAAGAGATGAACATCTTCTGTCAAGATCTGCTCTAAACCAGAAACCCCATCAGCTTGGATGGCAAGGTTTCAACATTGCCATAATCAAGTATTTTTGGCTTCTGTAAAATGAAAACCTGTAGAAATTGAACTTCAGGATGCAGAATGGTGGGCATTCCATCAAAACAACATATGATCAAGTTGCTCTTTGCTTCTGTCCCTGCCAGAGGTGTGATTCCAAAATCTTGACAAAGATTCTCTGAACTAAATACTGCACAAGTCTCTGTATTTAGTGAAGGAAAAAAGAAAAATCAGAATTCTAGGCCCAGGGGCGTCGCCTGACAGCTCACAATGGAAAATATATCAGTTGATTTATCATACAAAATCAGAGAGTCATAAGAAATTCAGAGTGGTGCTAATGAGACAGCCAACCTTTGATGGGACCTTAACTTTATTTAGTGAAGGAAAAATGACAGCTTCACTTTAATTTTTGCTGTCACAAAACTGTTACAATAAAAAATTATGTTCTATTAAGTAGACAGCAAATCTATGGCACTTGTGCTACTACTGCTCCTCTCCATGCCCACGGCATACCTTGCATTCTCTATAACAGACTCAGCCTTGGAGGACAGCTTGACAGTTCCAAGTAGCCACCACCCACAAAGCGAAGCAGGCACAGAGTCAGAGTCTATCTGCCAACGTTCCTTTGGGCTGACTATCCTACTTGACACTCACAATACTGTATTCTATGACACCAGACAGAACCCATCAGTTTAAGCTGTGGCCATTTTAAGACCTGTGTTTGATATTGCTAAGAAATAGAGATAGAAGAAAAATAAGGCTAAAGTCACCATCAAATCGGTTACACTGTGTTTACCCTCCTCAGTGTCCATCACTTGTATTATAGAGACAGAAGATTACATGAGCCAGTCACTGACCTTATGGAGAGCAGGAGCCAAGACTGGTACCAAAAATCCATTGTAAATGTAATTGACAAGCTGATTTCGAATCAAGGGGTGAGCCACCTAAGAGAGATGCAGATAGTCAAGAAAAAGGCAAAGAGTTCAATCTTCAGTTCTTAAAACAAAACAATTCTGTGTACATCCTGAACTCAAAAAGGAAATCCAAATTTTGGCCATTTATTCTGTGATTAAAGAACAAATCAGACCTCATACTGTCATGTAAGCCCTTCAAATAGCTTATTCCAGCATAAACAGCTTGGTTAAAATTCACAGAAGTTGAACTTTCAAACATAATATTGGTAATTTTAAACTGTGTGTTTGGAAAAAACACAATAAACAGACTGAGTACGTATAAGGATTCATAAATTAAAGTTAACAAACTGGAAAGTTTAATTTTTGCCCCTTACTTTCTTCTAAATCACATCTCAACCTGTAACTAATTTTAAAAACTAAGCATAACTGTCAAAGCGAACAATTAAATACATTTATTTTGCTGGCAGAAAACATTTTCTCATTTTAAATATGTATTTCCTGATAGTCACTTATATTAAAGAGAAAGGCATTTAAAAATATTTTCAGAAAAATAGATAATATTCAAAAGCAGAAAACATTATCAGAGGTACAATACTTCTCATATTTGATTTCCAAAATATATTTAGTGTGGATAACCCTCTACTAATATCTTTTATAAGTAACCTTTTCAGTAGTCTTCCCCAAACAAAAAATCTTAAAAGTATATGGTTTCAATGTCAAAATACAGTATGAAATATATAATTTCCCTGTTCTTACCATGCCTATTAGCTTTATTTCTCTTTCTTAAAAAAGATGACAATGAAAAAGAGGAAGAAAGTCAAACAACAAAGTAAAAAGCAATTTCTAGGAAAGTGAGGCTAGATCTTTAAATTACTGATAATCTCTCTGTGTGTATACATTTTTGGGGAAGAACTAATAGTAGTTCCATCTTTTTTATTTCCACAAACTGCAAGAAAATGTTGATAGACTCAATATTAAAGGAAAAAGTAAGATGTAATCCATTTTTCTTATATATAAATAAAACTTCCTTTGACTCAGCAATAAAAATGAGATGGAACTAAAATAATTTACTTGTATTTTCTTCCAGAGGCTATTTCTTTATTTGGTAGATAAACAGATTATAACTAACATTTTTCATCCTACAATCACTATAAAGAAAACTTGATTTCTTAATAAATCTAACATTAAGGTAATATTTATGCTATACGGAACAAAACATTTTTATGAAAACTTACCACATCTTTAAATATATATAAAATCTGATTTTTATTGAAAACAGTAACAAGAAATCTAAAGGTAAAAATCTAATCAAGAAGCCAAATACACAGGAGTTCAGTGGTTGTTTTTTTTCCCCCCCAAACAGGCCAATTTCAAAGCAAATTTAATTTGTGTTTCAATGAAAATGCTTAACTTCTTCTAAATTCAATTGGGATAACAATATTCTTTATGTAGTATGCACCATTAAGCAAAATAAAGTGTTCTCCTTTATAAATTCCCAAGAAGACCTTGAAGTAGAAGTGGTATAATCTGGAGTACTTAGAAACCTAAAAATATCTATTTAATGAGTCAGGCATTGAACTTATTTTTTGATGGCTAAGTAGATAATCAAAACAGAATTAACACTTTTTATAAAGAAGATAAAGAAAATCTACTCATTTCTTTTTCTCAGTTAAAACTTACAGAAACCTACAAACTAACATTTTCACTCATTCAAGGACATTCACTTGGCTTAAAGTAAAGCACCAATATTCCATAAACATTTATTAACATTTTAAAAAGTGAATGCTTTTAAATTAATCCTTTGCAATGCTTGTGCTCTGAATGAAGCTATAGCAAAGGGATCCTTTATCGTGCTCTGGTACCTGTATGACTGCATTGCAAAACTCCAGGGAGTTCATGAACTGGACAAGAGAAGGAAGTAGAAGCCAGTCATCTTTCAGAAGGCAGTGCCATTCCTCGCCTTTCTCTTCTAGCTTTGTAGGCAGGGAAGAGTAGAGACCACTGAGCCCAGTTGCAAGTACCTGTATTCAGAAATAAAAACAAAATAAATGCTTTTCCAAAGTTCTCAACCTGCAATTAACAGCTCACAGGTGATGCCAATGCTGCTGTTTCCAAAACTATATCTTTAAGTAGCAAGGTATTAAAGGTATAAGAGCCCATCAGCCAGCTAAAAACGATGCAAACAGGTGGAGACAGTAGGGAAGAACAACTCTGGCAGAAGGACAGCAATACCAGAACTGTCTGGCTAATATACACACAGTTGGTATGGGTTGCTCATCTCTCATGCGCCAGGCACTATGCTGGCCTTGGTGCAGGGGAAGTACACACAAAGATGAATGAAACATTATTCTGGCCTCAAGAAATTCAGGAGAGGAACAAATTCATAAACAACATCCTATAGTACAATACATCAAGGGCAAATACAGAGAAGGCACATACCCCAGCCTAGAGAATCCCCTGTTTTGAGGTGGTCCAGGACAGAAAGTCACATACATTGGAACCATGAGCTTTATGAGAAAGATTCCATGCAATTCCTTGCATGCTTGAGGTCATGACTGACAGCTGCACGTTTGTAGTTTAGAAAGCACTTCCACATATATTTTCTCATTTGATCTTCACAAATAATAGCAAGGAGAAAGAATTGGGGGACAGCAATCAGCTAGTTAGATGTAATGACAAGATTCAAGCAGAGATAAAGTGAGTCTACATGGAGGCATCAGCACTAGGAAAAGAAAGGAGGAAATAAAATTTGAGTATCACATGGAAGGTGGATATGAGGGTGATCTAATCATGACATCTATCAGTCTGGCATTAATCCAATACTCTCAGGGCTTGCTTCCTCCCTTACTGTTCTGTTCCTTAATTTAAACTGACAGCCTTTGGGCTTGGTAAGTGGGATACCTCAAAACTGTCAACTTACCCAACTTGGTCACCAAGAAAATGGTGATGCCTTTAACAGACACAGAAATGTAAGAAGATAACACACTTAATGCTGAGTGCTTGTTGATTTTACTTTGTGGAATATCAAACCAGGGAAGCAATGAATTTCATAGTACTGGAGGCCTCCCAGCTGGGAAGTGATACTGAATTAAGCAGCAACTTGGAGACCCTGACTTGCTAGATATGTATAGGATGGCCAGGGATGGCACAGAATGAATGCAAAGGAGTCAGCTATGGGGCCAGGGGTGGTGGCTCATGCCTGTAATCCCAGCACTTTGCAGGGCTGAGGTGGGTGGATCACTTGAACCAGGAGTTTGAGACCAATCCGACCAACAAGGCGAAACCCAGTTTTTACTAAAAATACAAAATTAGCTGGGCATGGTGGCATGAGTCTGTAATCTCAGCTACTCAGGAGACTGAGGTAAGAGAGAATCACTTGTGCCTGGGAGGCGGAGGTTGCAGTGAGCTGAGACTGGACCACTGTACTCCAGCCTGGCCCACTGTACTCCAGCCTGGCCGACAGAGCTGGAGTGCCTTAAAAGAAAAAAAAAAAAAAAAAGGCCAGCTACAAAAGTCTTTGCTAAACCCTGAGGTGACAATGGCCTCGAATGAGATGGAAACATTCAAGAAAATATAATGAGGCAGGCCCAGAAAAGAAATAGTGACATACTCATTGATCTCACTGTCTAATGAGAGATTAACAGGCAATTAAAACAGTGTTAGAAATGCTCAGAATACATAATAGAAAATATATAGTGCTGTGGGTGTACAAAAGACTTAACTCAGATTTGGAGGGTTGGCAGCAGGAAACATTCTCAGAAGAAGTGATGTCTAACCTGATGAAGAGTAAGTAGAAGTTAGCCAGAAAAAGAGTAGGGGGAAGAATATTCCAAGCAGAGAAAACAGCATATACAAAAGCTCAAAGGAGAAAGCAAAGATGGTATTTTCCAGGAACTAAGAGAAGCGCAGTATTGTTAGAGTGCAGAATTACAGGTAGAAAGAGGCTGGCAAGGTGAACGGGAATCAGATCCTGCAGGGTTTTATAGGACATGAGGAGCGTGTGAGGCATCCAAATGGAGAGCCCAGTATTCAGATATGTGGGGCTGATGCTTAAAAGAGAGCTCTGGGCTAGAGATGGAGCCGTCAACATGTAGATAGGACCTCAAGCCATATGAACCAGAGAGAGAAGGAAAGGGAGATTTAGACAGATGAGATATGACAAAATAATCCACAGTGCCTGGCATCACAAACAGGAAGTCAGAAGGAGGGGTGGGCTTAGGTATGTTAAACTTGGAAAAAAATTATCTGTAGACCTATTGTTGCCTCCCTTTTCCCCTTGTCCTGTTCTCACAGCACTCTCTGTATGCCTTTGTGTAGCAATCATCTTTCTTGCATGTATTAGTGTATTGCCTACCTTCTCCATCTCTCCTGATCTGACTTGTTCATTCCAGTCCACACTGGAGGTATGGATGATTTGTCCAGTCAGGTATGTTGAGTTTCAGATGCTAGGAGTCCTTCCCATGAATAACATACGCAACTCAACAACAGAGTACAGGTCGGGGAGGTCTTAACATGGAGAGACCATATGAAGTCATGGGAGGATCTAGGAGGGGTGGGGGAGATGGTGTAGGAGCCCCCAGTAGAGTATAAAGGACAGGGAGACAAATAGATGAACCATTTCAGTACTAGAGAAATCAAAAAATTATATACATTTCTCTGTTCTATTTCCTGGTTCCTGGCAACCTTTAATCACTCATTCATTTACTCACTCCTTAAAAAAAGAAATACCAAACACTTCAGGCCAGGTACTACATTAAGAAAATACAACCGTAAGCAAGACAGTACATTTATCTCTTTTTAAAAAATCAGGGCATCTGTGGTCCCAAAAGAGAATGTCCCCTATTCAAAGTGAATATACCCATACAAACACTTTCATTCCAGTTTTGAATGTGACCCAAATGAGTTGCTTCTTAGAAATCAGAAATCTCCGGCAAAAGAGAACAGAGACCAAAAGTTCTCCTCGAAGAGAAATCTAATCTTGATGCCACATTTTTTTAAATCAATTACATTTGCTAACTCCTGCTAAATTAACCACAGAACAAAGGCTTTAATTCTGCATACTCCTGATTTCTTAACCACTTTGAGGCTTTGAAGATGAATTCATAAACACAGGCTTAATTTGTCTGACTAAAAAGCTGGGAATAACTATTCAGTATATCAATATAATTACAGCAACATTAATTTTCAAATTACATACATCAGTGACAGTAATTAAAAATAACACATATGTAATATTCACTTTTTAAAATGAGTATTCTGAAAGGGCATGGCTGAGATGTGAACAGAAGCCTGCCCATCCAGAAGGATAGTCCCTGTACAGAAGGATACTCTCTATGCACAAGGATACTCCCAGAAGACAGAAAGACGTTGTCCGTACAGAAGTGACAGCTGAACAGGAAGTCCTGTCATGTTCCTGCCACTACAAAAAGTTTCTCTGCTATCTCCTTCAGAATGGCAAAGAAACAGAGGAGAAAATATTCTGCAGAATAAAGAGTATTATACAGTCTTAGGAAAAGATTCTAAATCTTTATGGTATTTATATCCTCCCTTCCTAGGCTGTGCTCAGAGTTCAGATTCATTCACCCAGACTGCACATATTTCTAGAACACAGACTGTGGGCCAGACATACGCAAGATTGGTCCTGGGGAAAGATTAGTGAACAAGGCAGACCAGGAGAGATGGAGAATATGGCTGATAAATCAGTAAATGCAAGAAAGATAATTACTACCTAAGGGGATACAGAGTGCTGTGGGAACAGGACAAGGAAAAGGAAAGATACCAACAGGTCTGTAGCTAACTTTTCTAGGTTAAGAGATGAATAGAACATTCTATTTACTTTTAAATTTCATTTTTTAACTTAGAATTAAATTACAAAAGTTTAAATATAGATGTATTCAACAGCTCATTAAAAATAAAATTCCCATCCAGTATTTTAGACTTTTATTGATCCTTGGATTCCCATTCACACACACACACACAAATTGCAAAATATTCTATTTATTCCCAACACATTAAGCATTAACCCATTTTTCACTTATTTTTCACTTATGTGCACTTATTTTTCACTTATTTTCCCTCAAGAATCTCTTTAAAAGAAACAAATCACATGTAAAACCACAAGGATAACAATAGACAAAAAAGCAAACAACTTCCCTGGCAGCAGTATAGCAACGCAGTTGCTGAGACCAAGGATTTTAGTATCAGACAAACGTGATTTTGAACCAGAGTCTGCCACTGACAGGCAGTTATTAAAGTTCTCTAAATTTCCGTTTCTTCACTGAGTTGTTGCCAGGATTAAAGAAAATAATGCATGTGCCAAGATTTGCATAATGTTTTACACATAGAAATGTTTCCAATGAAAGAAAGAAAGATGACATACAAAAAAAAAAAGAAAAAAGAAAAAAAGAAAGAAGACATGTACAGAGCAGTGAACAAGTAATGTTTAACTTTAAACATCTAATGATATGTGGTTAATTTTAGCAAACACAAAGATTTTTGGCAGATGGCTTTAGTCTGAAGCTCGCAGCATAACACCTGGTAGGGACTATTTGATACAACTTGTCAAAATAAAAAGCCTCATAAATTTTGGATATGGGATAAATAACATTCTACCTGCGGCTGTGTACCTAAAGGTCGCTTGCTTTAATTTGCATTACCTGATTTATGTATACACCGTTTTCTACATTTGCCAGTATATAACAGTGGCATGGGCTTAACTGTCAATATTTGTTTTTTTAAAAAAAAAGTGACAGGGTCATTTAGTCCCCTTTTGTTGGCACCAAATTGTTCCCTAGAGTATCTTCATTCTCCTTCTTTTCCTAGGAAAGCACATCTTGAGTTATGAGGCAGCAGAACCAGCAAGCTCTTCCTATCAACTATAACAGTAAAGGTTTACAAAAGGGGTCCAATTTCCTGAAAGAGTCATTACTTTTCCAACAGCCTGATGCTAACACGCTTTGACAATCATACTAATTAGAGAAATCTTTTTGTCAACTGTGGTCCTTAGCTGGATGGTTAATAGAGTATGCTTTTATCTTCAACATAAAGAGGCCTTTTTTTTTTAATTACGTTGTCAGATGTAATTATAGAAAACTGGGTACAAATGAGATTATGGGATCTATCCTAAGGGGCAACTTAACACAATGAAGCTCGTGTTCCATTCTAGCAAACAAGGTCAGCTGGAGATGTTGTTTTCCCTCCAACTTTAATGATCTGTACAGTGTTTTAAAATACATTTTTATAAAAGCAACACTCAACTAAAATCTGCTTATGACACAGTTAAATAGAAATCTAAACATTTAAAATGGTCCATTCTTGTCATAATATATTTAAATTTTTAAATTATGAAATATCAAAAATACACAAAGCATAATAGAAACCCATCACCAAGACTTAACAGATTTTAATATTCTGCAAAAATTTCTTCAGAACACTCTGATTTTTTCAAACAATAAAAATTAGAAATAGAACTACACCCCACTCCAATCTCATTACCATCCCTTCTCCTTCCTTCACCCCCAGAAAGTCACAGTCTTGAACTTCGCATATATTATTATCCTTGCGGTTGTTTTGTACTTTTACTGCATACATATGTATCCAAAAAACAGCATACACTAAGATTCTGCGTTTTAAAATTGTATGTAAACTCTAGGCGGCACAGTGGCTCATGCCTGTAATCCCAGCATTTTGGGAGGCCGGGCGGGCAGATCACTTGAGGTCAGGAGTTCGAGACCAGCCTGGTCAACATGGTGAAACTCTGTCTCTACTAAAAATACAAAAAATTACCCGGGCGTGGTGGCACACGCCTGTAGTCCCAGCTATTCGGGAGGCTGAGGCATGAGAATCACTTGAACCCGGGAGGCAGGGTTGCAGTGAGCCGAGATCACGCCACCACACTCCAGCCTGGGTGACAGAGCGAGACTCTGTTTCAATAAATAAATAAATAACTCAATATGTTTTTTGATTTACTGCTGTTCATACACAGTTACATGACAGTACACTATTCATACACTTTGAATGCTGAAAAGTATTCCACTGATGTATGAATAAACCAGTTTATCTTTCACTTCACGTACTTCTATTTTTCTGTTGTTCAAATCACTGTTTTGTTGAACATCTTTGTATATGTATCCTTGTAAATAAGTGCCAGATTTCTCCAGGCCAGATATCTAGAAGGGAATTTGCAGGATCACACGGTATGCAAATATTCAGGTTTACCAAACATTGCCATACTGCTTTCCTGAGTTACTATGCCAATTTATATTCTCAAAAGTTCTTTTTTTTTTTGTTTTCACACTCTTGACAACACAGTTACCACTTAATACTTACTACTCTGATAAGTATTAACTGGGGTCTCATTGCATCACCAATAGTGGAATAACTTAACATAGGCCCCTTGCTGTAATGCAATAAGTATATAGCATCACTTGTAAAGTATCCTTGCCAAAAATATTTAACCTAAATTTAACTGGGCATGTAGATCTAAGTCCAATTTGTAGGAAATGCAGGGTTAGGGACAAGTCAAACTACACAAGAAACAATCAAACTCAGAATGTGGGGATGTTTTATAAGACAATGGCTTGGTCTCTTAAAAAGTCAATGTCATGGGGAAGAAAAGTGGCAGGTTGTTATTATATTAATGGAGACTAAAGAGACCTGATAGCTAGATGTATATCTTTTATTGGACTCTACAAAGGGGGAGAAAAAAGCTATGAAAGTAATTTGGGGCATAATGGGAGAACTGGATACTACATCGTATTAAGGAATTATTGTATAATGTTCTTAGGTATAGTAACAGTATTGTGGTTATGTGGGAGAATGTCCCCATTCATAGGAAATACAGACTAAAGTATCTAACATCTGTAACTTAATTTCAAATGGTACAACAAAAACAAATAAAAGCATAAAATACCAAAGAATGGCAAAATATTAACAACTTTGAATCTAGGTGGTGTGCATACACTGTTCATCTTAGTGTTTTAAATTTTCTGTATTTTACTTTTTCTTACAATAAAAAGTTTTTAAAACATAAATTGCATCAACTTTATAGATTAATTTGCAGGAATGTCTCATCTGTACAGTATCTACAGGCTGTAGAGCTTTCCATTTATTTAGATCTTTTATGCCCTTTATAATTTTCTCCATAAAGGCCTTTCATGTATTTGTTAGATTTATTTCAAGATACCTTATGATTATGTTGCTCTTGTAAATGGTATTTTCTAAATTGCCTTTTGCATATTGATCAAGTGAACCACCTGAATATTTTGATTTGTTACAATATCTGCTCTCCTTTAACAGCAGAATTACACAACTGAATTAAACAATTCAAATAAGCTAAAACCCAAACCTCGTATAGCTCCCTCTCAAAACTGCTATTAAGAGGTTTTCTTTAGAGCAGTTTAAGGTTCACAACAAAACTGAGAGGAAGGTACAGAGATATCCCACATACCCGCTGCCCCAACACATGCACAGCCTCCCTGATTATCAATATCCTCTACCAGAGGGCTACATTTGTTACAACTGATGAACTCACAGTGACGTAGTAGAGTCACCCCCAAAACCATAGTTTACATAAGCGCTCACTCAGTGTTTTACATTCTATGGGTTTGGACAAATGTATATTGACATGTACCCACCATTCTAGTATCATACAAAGTAATTTCACTGCCATAAAAGTCCTGGGTGCTTTGATTATTCATCCCTCACCCTGCCCCAATGCTCAGGGGAAGAAAATAGTCTTTTTATTGTCTCCATAGTTTTGCCTTTTCCAGAATGTCATATAGTTGGAATCATACAGTAGGCACCCTTTTCAGATTGGCTTCTTTCACTTAGTAATAAGCATTTCAGGTTCTTCCATATCTATTCATGGCTTACCAGCTCATTTCTTTTTAGCTGAAAAATATTCCATTATCTGCATATACCCCCACTTTATCTATTCACCTGCTAAAAGACATCTTGTTTGCTTCCAAGTTTTTGCAAATTATAAATAAAGCTTCTATAAACATCCATGTGCAGGTTTTTGGGTGGACATAAGTTTTCAACTCCTTTAGGTAAATATCAAGGAGTGCAATAGATGGACCACACAGCAAGAGTATGTTTAGTTTTGTAAGAAACTGCCAAACTGTCTTCCAAAGTAGCTGTACCATCGTGCATTCTCATCAGCAATGAATGAGAGTTTCTACTCCTCCACATCTTGCCAGCATTTGGTGTTGTCAGCGTGATCCCTACACACTAACTGACTGTTGAACTCCCACTCCACCACCCCATGTTCCTATGACAACAAAATACACTAAAACTAGCGGTCATTTTCTTGCTGAGAAACAAATTAATTTGTGAAACCAGCAGTGGAGGTCTTATCACATGCCATGATTCCTTGGAGCAAAATCAACCTGAAAAGCTAAGGAATCAGCACAGGTTTTACCAATTTCTCAGGATATGCTCCTATGCTCCTAGAACAATTAAAATCATTCTTAACGCAGTAAAAAATTAACCAAAAACGGTAACACATCTAGCTTCCTCTGTTGGCTTATGATGAGCTGATGCTGCTCAGACAAATAGCATCTCAACTTAGACTCCTCTGCTCCCTCCAAAAGATTTCCTCTAAACATCTTTCCATAGGAGGTGCCAACTACAACTTACTGGGAGAAAAAAGGGAGTAAGATAGTATTCATCATTAGCAACAAAAGAGAAAAAAGGGAGTGAGTGGAAAACGTGCCAAGGAGAGAGACTTACTGGACAAAAGTAGGTGTTCTCCACGATGTGATGGGCCACCATGCTGTTCTCAGCAGAGAGAGACATGATGAATAACAATGCATCCCGAGCTTGCTGGCCCACTGCCCCCTCTCGGTGAATGAAGGGAATCAGAAGGGAGAAGATGAGGAAGTTGGCAGCGCCTTGGTCTTCACTAGTGTGGAAGAAGAGTTCTAAAATGGATGGATCTTTGGCAAGAATGGAACAGAGCTGATTGAGTAGGACAACCAGCTTCTCCTCCACAGTGGGGGTGGTTGTTCCTGAACAAGAGCTCAACAACATCATCAGAGGCTTCAGAATGGGTTTGTGGTGCAGCAGAGGCTGGTGCGACTGGGTGACCAACATCTCATACATCTTTAGCTGCTCAATTTTAGTCTCATCAGTAAATTCCCTTCTCAAGCTCCAAAGGAAAAGTTTCTCCATGATGTTCTCAGAGACCACAAATTCCAGAATCGGCCCCATTGCAGCATCCTTGGCTTGCTCTTCAATCAACAAGAAAAGCATGTGTTCTACATAATTCTGCACAGCACTGGCCTCATCTGGAGGGATAGACCCATATTTTGCCTGGGTGTTCTTCAAGGGGTCGTGCTTCTCCAAGATTTTCACAACCTGTAACCAAGTCAAACATTTGTCATCTATCTGATGTTTATCATAATTACAAACACATCACCACTGATTTTTACCAAGTCTTCACCAAAAATGCAGGAGCCACTGCCCACAACAAGATATGTGTGAGCATTGTGTGTGTGTGTGTCTTCCTCTCAAACACTAAAATGAAGGAGTTAAACTATAGAAAGAAGATGTCTGAAGACGTTTACTTCCACAGTTATAAATTTCAACAATCTAAATATCAAAGAAAATACTATGGTTACATAAATTAAGCTACATGCATTCTTTGGATTTTTATTATGAATATAATTGAGGAAAATGAGAAATTGTAAGTGATATGTTAGATGAAAAAAGCAAGCTATTTATAGATGTTAGATGCATAATAATCAATTATGTCAAAGATGTATGTGAAAAATATGCAAAAAGACTCATTTTTATGTTCAAAGTCATGACAAATTCTTAAATTTTTTTCTAGATTGTAAATGTATAACATTGCTTTTTAATTTTAAAATACATTAAATAAGCACAAGGAAACCATGCTTGCTACCCATGTTCTCCTACAAACAGAATTGCTCTGGAGATCTCAGCAGAGGAACACAGCTACTCATATGCCCTTGGCAGAACAATATCCTCCCTTCCCTACTTGGATGGATGCCCTCTTCAACCAAACATGCAGCAACAGAAAAGATTAAAGGAAACTGATAAACGAGCGACATACAACTAGTAGAATCAACCCTAACATGTGGCATATACTGAAACTGAAAAATGAAGGGTTTGAATGTTGTGTTTCTTTAAGCTTAAAAATTCTGAGACAACCAATTACAAAACAAACCCCTAAAGTTTGGAGTGATTAAAAAGTTTTGGAAATAGAGCTGATAATTAAGCACTTTGGGAGGTCAAGATGGGAGGATCACTGGAGCCTAGGACTTCAAGACCAGGCTGGGCAAAATAGTGAGACTCTGTCTCTACAAAATAACTGTAAAAATTAGCTGGGTGTGGTGGTGCATGCCTTGAGACTCTGAGGTAGAAGGATCTTTTGAGCCCCAGGAGGTTGAGGCTGCAGTAAGCCTTGATCACGCCATTGCACTCCAGCCTCAAACAAAACAAAAAACAAAATGGGTTAAGGTGGCCTATTTTGTTATATATACTTTACCACAAAAAACTCAATTAACAATTTAAATTAAAATCCCTAAACAGGTCACCTCACAGCCCCGGTCAGCTTCTCTCCTTTCCCACTGCTAGCATTTGAAGGTTTCTCACTTTCTCTGCCAACAGATACTTCCACTTTGCAACCTGGAAACTAAAACAATTTTTTATCTCAACTTCTATTTAACTTTATGACTTAGAATTTCTGGTATAATACTCATTCCATTTACTCCTTTGAAAATATACACATACGATAATTTTTAAATAACCAAACATTTATCAATGACTTTATCTTTGTCCCTTTTTGCCTTTCTGAATTGCATAGAATCTATGTGTCTTTTGCAGTACCCTCCGGGTCCAGTTCTATGATGTGCTATTACATGTTCTGTATGAGTACTTAGGTTATGGAATTTTTGCAAGTCATTGGGGAAGCTGGCAAAGGCATAATGCTATGTCAGCATGCATGAGCAATGAGGGAAATTTATTTCTCAGGGAAATGTCTGTCTCTCCCTTGTCAGAAATGGAAAAAAAATCTTTATAGACCAGGCAAGTCCACCCTTACAGAATAGAAGAATTTCCACAGAATCTATAATCTCCATTGACTTCCATTATAAAGTTGATAATGCTGTGTCACAAAGGCAAAAAATCACTCCAACACCCTTGAGTTGACATTTTTAATAAAAAAAAGGAAGGCCTTTGGCTAGCCCCTACCCAGGGAGTACCTGGCCCACTGACTAGTGGCCACAGGACAGCCACTAGACATCCTCTTCTCCTTTGCTGCATGCCTGACTCCAAAGTACACCCACTATCCTACAACCTCCACCAAGCCCTTCAGGATTCCTTGCACCTGGTCACCGTCCTAGCAGCAGAAACACCGGGACCTGGCTCTCCCCCATCCCTTTGTTCTGGGCCTTACCAACAACTCAATAGAATGCAATCACAGTACCACACTGGTCCAAAGGGACCCTCTACCTCCACACCACACATTGTCCAGCCCCAAAAGTCCCTAACTTCAAGCCTCCACATTCTGAAGAACAAAAGACATGCCTTATCAGTTCTATAATTTCAAAGTCCATATATCGAGTTTATTTATGAGAACTATCTTTACAGCTAGACCTCAGGGTAAAAATGTAATTATACTTTTCATGTGTGCCCAGACTGTCTAAACTATCTAAAACTGGGGCTGTGCTTTATACATTGATAGTGGAGTAGCAAATTAGCTCAATCTTTCTGGAAAACAATCTGGCAATATGTAATAGAAGCTATAAAATTGTTCCTGCCCTTTGACTTGTTAATCTGACTTTGGGGAAAATACCCCAAGGAAACAACCCCAAAATAATCTTTTAAAACATGTTCAACTTTCCTATAATGAAAAAAATACTATTGACTCAAATGGTCAAGAATAAGAGAATTACAATCAAAATATATTATATCACCATACAATATAAAAAAATTGTATGAGCCATCAAAAAAACAAACACTAAGTAAATTCATTTTCTATCATTAAAATGTAAGCTAAAAAGCAAATACATTGCCAAGTAGATACATGATTAAAAGTGAGTCTAAAGAGATATAAATGAGATTTTAAGGTTATTTATTCTTTCCTGTAAGTTTATCTAATTTCATAATACAAATAAAAACAAAGGTAGACAAAGTAATCATGTACTAATGTCCAAAAAAGACCAAACCATTGAGTTAAAAACAATTAACAATTAGAGATCTCTTAAGTCTCAGCAATTTCTAAGCAATATAAATTTATACATATGCATATGTATATTTTATATATACTATATATGTGCATGCAAATATGTAAGACACAGCAAAAGTCTTTATTTACATAACCATAAATTGTATTTTTCTCATTAATTAACCTTCATTTATATTATTTATTCCAATTCATTCCTTTACAGACCTCTTTTTTTGCTATGAAAAACCTTAAAAAGAGAACTAAGATTTTTATACAGAATGCAAACTGTTTAGCAGCTTTTAAACTGAAGCATCTTTACTCTCTTAAAGTAGTACCCTTATACTGTCTTCAGATGGAGCAGATACATTGAAGACCCAGACCTAACCCACTGGTTTTACTGCCTGGAAGATGGGTGTGTTGTAACCAACGTATGTGAGTCATGAAACACACAATGCTCAGCAAAGTGCTGATTATGCTTGTGTTGCCACATGTCCTTAACCTCTCTCCTTAGGACCTTCCCAGGGTACCTCCTTTTCCTTTCCAGGCAGACACACCCATGACCTGCTTTTACTAGCGGGCTCTGGTGGCCCAATCTTGGGACCGGTTCCTATATTGGCAGGGAATGCCTAAGAAGCTTCTTGACTAGAGCACAATTTGTACTGAAATGCCAAAGAACTTCTATCCCAAGTCCCAACTTTCTCACTCCAATGGTGTCACAGTTCTTTCAGTTTCTATAAACTGATCTCTGATAAGACCTGGACTTTTCCTTATTTTTTCCTTTTGTGCCCTCTTTTCGTATCACTCCCATCAAACTCCAATATTTCTGTGTCCCTGATTTCTGCTTGCTGCCAGTTCCACCCACACACCAACTTTTACCTTCCGGTGCTATGGATGCCACAATTTCACGCTGCTCACAGTGGCTCCCCCAGGCCTGGTCTACTCCTGATTACCAGCTGTCTTATACTCCCGACCTTGCCTCATTTCCCACACCTGGCTTCTTCTCAGCTCTCTAGACTCAGTCTCAAGGATTCAGCTCAGAGGAAGAAAAAACACAATTAATGGGGCCGGAGGGATCTCAGTAGGTAAAAGAATGAAAGCAAGCAAAATATACTTTGCAAATATTTCCAAATTATAAAACAAATTTACTTTGTTAGGCTGAAAATACCATTTTAAAAAACTAATCAACACCTTATAAAGCCCACACTCATTAATTAAGTAAACCAGCTGAGATCAGAAATAGCAACTTAAACGTTTTGCGGATCATAGCTAGATGTTTGTTAATCTACAAACTTTAAGAAACACAGATGTGTGTGCCTGTGTGTATGTGTATGTGTGTGGGTGCACCATTAGCCTTCATCACATACAGATCCTAAATGTAAAGTATCACAATTCCAAAAAGAAAGAAACACATAAAAATCAACAGTATGAACAATGCAGTTAAAAATATCAAATTCATAGAGCTAAATTTAACCTAATTTCAAAGCCATTTGACTTATAAATGTGAGAATTACTGGGGCTAAATAAGATTAATAAATAGCATGTTTCTTTCATTAAGTAGTATCAGATACTCCTATCCTTATCCCTTATGATGGCCCCTGTGAGCCAGTGATAATTGGCCTGAATTTCAAACGGGCACAAATTCTAAACAGCAAGTGCAAATGCTTTCAAAATGAAAGCTCTACATAAATCACATAATTGTACCTCAGCTACAAATGATTACCCTTCAGGATAAACACAAGTGTTTCTCTCTCAGGAGACTAGCTTTGATTCCAGTTAATATTGTTCTCTGTCTTACATACATGCATGTATCAGTAAGTGATTACTTATGCTACCAAAGTTAGAGCCCAGTTATTTTAAGAAAGTCTTATGTGTAAAACCCATACTTCCAAATCCTTTGGAATGCTAAAATAAGGTGGCATTGTGGAAAAAACCAAGTTACTATGCAATATTTTCCAACACACTGAAGGGCAAGATTTAGCTGTCTAAAGCCAAATTCCACTTAATCAAATAACGTATCAAATAACGACACAAAAGTTTCCATGCAGCCCTTGTTCATGACTTAACAGCTGTGTCTTTCAGTATTAAGTGTTCCTTATGCATCTATTTCCACAGGGAGACCTCTACCAAGTCACTTCTTTTTACATTAAGATAACAGCTTTATAATACGTATTCACTTAACACCAGGTTTTTAATGTCAGCTCCAGTCCTGAGCTCCAGAAGCTTGCCTAAATCTTGGATAAAACAGTTATGGAAAAGCCTTATGAGTAATGATCTAAATAATAATATTTCAAAGAACACTAATTTCAACCATAGCAAAAATCAAACTTACCACCAAGCACACAGTAGGAGAGTTGCTGACATTTCAACATGCTCAATCATTTTATTTTTATCTTATTTTTATTTTTATTTTTTGAGATGGAGTCTCTCTCAGTCACCCAGGTTGGAGTGCAATGGTGCAATCTCGGCTCACTGCAACCTCCGCCTCCTGGGTTCAAGCAGGTCTCCTGCCTCAGCCTCCCAAGTAGCTGGGATTACAGGCATGTGCCACCACACCTGGCTAACTTTTGTATTTTAGTAGAGATAGTGTTTCACCGTGTTGGCCAGGCTGGTCTCAGACTCCTGCCCACCTCGGCTTCCCAAAGTGCTGGGACTACAGGCATGAGCCACCGCACCCAGTCATGTTCAACCACTTTAGAGTCTGACAGAAGTGCAAGTTAATGCCTCAGTCCTCTAACTTAAGAAGTATACCTTTGGTTCACTTTACCTTCTACCATCAAGGCTAGAGCTACCTGTAAGCCTTGGAAGGGAGACAGAACTTTTTGAAATGTTAACAAACATCAATTTACTAAGATATTTAGAAAATTGATCAGAGTTCTCTAATACTTCCCAACTGTTCATCTCTCAAAGGCTTTACTTAATTTTTCTCTGTCATTTAGTCTACTACAAGGCACAGAGCGAAAGAATGGAGATAAGCAGAGCAAGGGAATGAGACTCAAATACAGTACACGTGTCAAATCCATGCATGGATGCTCTAGACTTTAGATTTGGGCTACTTGGAGATCTACACAAGATACCATACCTCAAGTATATTATCTATTTTTGACTATTGTGGGAAGACATTTGACTTAATTAACCAATCTAGATGGTTCTGTTTTTTCCCATCCCTACCCCTCTCCAAGATGAAAAAGGTTACTAAACCCACTGACTTTTCCTCATCCATCACTATTACTCTATTTGAGCTCTGACATTTTCTTAGCCTAAAAATTTTTTAAACAGCTTATTTTTAGAGGCTGAAGGTAGACAGAAGTCATTCTGGGCTATTAATTAACTAGAGGCAAAGACAGAAATGTGCATTTCCAATTGATTTTTTTTAACCCACCTCCTCTGTTCTGGCTCTAAGAGCAGAGACCTTTTGAAATTCAATGCTTGAAAGGAGCAGAGAGAAAAGGAATAGAACAAGGTCCATGAAGCTTCAGAAAGTACAACTGTGCCATCAAAAATAACTAGTGTAGGGAATTTAATTCACATGGCAGTCTAGTTGAATAGTTTGTTGCCTGGTGGGCTAATAATGCTTCTTACTGTTTCTGTCTTCTCTTCCATTCAGATAAAAACAAAGACACAAAGGCAAGAGATAAAAACAACAGTCTACTAGATTATAAACTGTTCTTACAGACTACTATAAAAATTAAACACATACACACACTCTTCCAGATCATTTAATGCAAGTCCAAAGATCTTGCTGGTGGCAAATTATACAATGTTTTAAAATTAGTGTACATTGAAAGCTGTTTCCTACGTTGCCTAGGTCTTTTAAACTTGTATTTTATTCTGACTGCCTTTCAGTTCAATCGTTTATTGAACATCTACTATATGTCACAGTCTGTTCTGGGTAATGGGAATATCAGTTACAAATGGCCTCTGATCTTGAGGAGCTTGTAATGAGTTTGTGAAGAAGATAGTGTATATGCAATTTTAATAAAAAGTGGTTGGGCTACATGCAGTGGCACATATCTGCAGTCCCAGCTATTTGGGAGAGTGAGGGAGCAGGATCTCTTGAGCCAGGAGTTCAAGGCTGTAGCATGCCATGATTGCACCTGTGAATAGCCACTGCACTCCAGTGCAACATAGCTAGACTCTCTCTCTAAAAATATAAATAATTAAATTAAAAGGTGATTGGTGTAAGAGTGATAGAATATTCAGGTTAATGCTTGCACATGGGGTGGGAGCATGAAAGAGGGCAGGGAAGGTTTCCTAGAGCAAATGATGCCTCAAATGAGGCCTGTAGAAGGACAGGCATTTAACCAGTGGGAGGAATATTTCAGGCAGAAAGAAGAATGAGTGCCTAAGGCACAGAGGGATGAAATAGCATGATGGACACTGCCAGGAGACGGGGTGGCTAGGAACCCCAAGCAACTTTGCATTTTTGGTGATTAAATGAGAGGCAGAGAGTAACAGAAGCCAGGACATAACAAATTATGTGTGCCATCCTGGCCTGTAGGTGGCCAGATGCCACTGAAAGGTTCAACTAGAGGAATGAACCAGACAGATCTGGATTTGAGATTCATCACTCTGGCAACTTATGGGACAAGATGGCATCTCAGAAGGTGAGAGGAAGTCAGGGGCTACTTTCTATAGCCCAGACTCTTCAGTGTCACTATTAGGAATGCAACCATTCCTGAAAGTGTACTCTAGAATGATTCTGGGATGCCATGAGATCACTGGACCCAGAAACAGTTTGGAACCTCAAGTGCACCACTGGGCCATTTAAGGTCTCTCCGCTGGCAACTCCCCTGAATCACAGACTGATTGGACGACGGCTGGTTGTATAACTAGCTGCCTCTGACAGGCTCTAAGGTGTAAGTGGGCAAGCAGATCTCCTCCATCAGTGTTTGCTCTTTAACTCAAGCTCTGGAATAGAAGCTATTAACAAATAGCAGAACAGAACCTGTCAAATACAAGTTAATTATGTTGAATTTGTACTTAAGTCTCCTAACGAATAGAACTCGGGATACCACAGGCTTTTGTTGCCTTCATTTTTTCCTTTCTTTTTTTTTTTTTATTTATTTTTATTTTTTTAAGACGTCTTGCTCTGTCGCCCAGGCTGGAGTTCAGTGGCGCAATTTCAGGTCACTGCAACCTCCACCTCCTGGGTTCAAGCGATTCTCCTGCCTTAGACTTCCAAGTAGCTGGGATTACAGGCATGCACCACCACGCCCGGCTAAGTTTTTTATTTTTAGTAGAGATGGGGTTTCACCATGTTGGCCAGGTTGGTCTCAAACTCCTGACCTCGTGATCTGCCCGCCTCAGCCTCCCAAAGTGGTGGGAACACAGATGTGAGTCACAGCACCCGGCCAACACTTTTTCCTAATTTGACATTTAGAAAAGCATTACACTGGGCAGGTAATGGGGCATCTGGGCAAATAAAATGCTTTCCAGCTTTGTCTATGTCTCATTCCCTACCAGTCTTACAGATTTTTCTTGCGTCGCCTCAGGGGAACCCAGGGGCTGTAGTCACAGTAGGCCTAGGAGCTTATATCAGACTTGAGCTCTTTTCCCAATCCTCTGCAACTGCTCTTCACCCACCCCAGCCCAACAACTCACAGCCAAGAGCTAATGCATGAAACTCCAAAACAATATGTAAGTATCATTCATTCCCACCAACTGCTTCGTCCCATATCTCTGCCTGGCTATGATTTTTTTGCCTTCCCCTCCTTTATATTTACCATCCAAAAAAGCTAAAATTGAGCATTTGTTCCCAGTATCCATTCTCTGAAATATTCTTTTCCTATCTGTCATCAAAACCTTCCTTTTCCATAGCCAACCTAGCAAAATCTCACTTTCTCCATTCCTAGGTCATTTCCAGCCATAATAGCCCCTTCTCTTGACTTAATTCATGTAATAATGATTATCTATTTTGTAATAATGTATCTTGCATTGTCATCTGCATCAGCTTATACATTTTTTAAAGCCCAGACCAAGGCTTATACATTCTCAAGTCCCACCTGTGATGCCTACAGTGACATGCCTGCAGTGTGGGCTCAGTAAATCTCCATTGAACAATAACACTTTGACACTCATGTAAATTTCTTCAACCAGTATTTTCATTCACAAAGATAACAGAAAGGCCCTCAAGGGCCTCTATAGGCAGCAACTGAGAGCATTTTCTGAATTTATTTAAAAGGAAACGTTAAGCCTAAAAAAGGTTAAAAACACCTGCCCAAAGGTAAAGACATGGCTGAGTCAACAATAAGACCATGAGTGTCCAAACTTTATAAAAGAAAATATTTAACAACTAAACAGAATCCCCTTTGACAAAGTTATCCTTACCTTCAACTCAAGACTTGTCTGCACTGAGAGTACTGTGTATCTGTACTGTGCTTCAGAGAACCCAAAATGTCCGAAAATACTGAAGTCATTTGTATTGTTATGGAAATGAATAATATGATTCTGGGACCAATAGTCTTTCAATAATGTGACACATTGTACTGACACATTCCTCACATTTGGAGAAAGCCTGCCGGGGACAGAATCTGACAGGGCAGATGACCCACCTACATATGATCAAGAAGCTGATGATGTATCATGTCTTTGGAAAGTGGCACAGAATACTAAATGGATCATATCACAGTTACCCCAGGAGAAATGATTATAACCCAAGGTATTATACACAAACAAATAAACAAAATGGGGCTGGGAGTGAAGACTACGTAGTAGGATAGACTTCTTCAGCCTAATGAAATGACTGGAGCTGAAAATGTTCTCAATTAAAAACATATGATTGTGCACTAATAGATTTTTTAAATGAGCACAAGTAACTAAATAAATTAGTAATCATACAGGTACTAATACACAAATATATAATGTACATTTTAAACACAAAACAGAAATTTGTAAAAGGTAAAGATAGAAAGAGACCTTCTAAAATATTCTTCCTACACCCAATGGACTACTGGGCTCATTCCTTAGGATTCACCACCTCGCTTTGGAGATACTGCTTTAAAATATTTATAAAAGTGCAAAGCCAAAGGTTATTACTCTAATTATCTCGAAAACTCCTAAATTACTTTCTTCCCTTAACTAAAGCATATGTGCCCTAATGTCCATAGCAAATTAATTAAAATTCTAATGGTAAAAAGTCAGAGAATGCACAAAAAATCGGAGAAGGTTTATACTGGATAGTAACAAGAAGCTACAAAGTATAAACGGCTCAGAAGCAGAATTGATTTTGCTCGTTTTTGATCTAAACTGTGTCCCCTATAATTGTTGCGATTTACAGGCTCAGTGCTTTGACCCGTGTGCTGTTTCCGGCCACAGGAAGGAACTGGGTAGTCATTTAAAAACTGTCACATAAATAGCCACTTACCAGCTCACCTGGGGAGTGCAATGTTGGGCAAGTAGTAAAGAATGCCAATTTTATTTATTTTACTACT